CAAGGTTTTTTCTTGTTGTCATCACTTCTGGCCACCAAAGCTGAAGAGTCCCCAGGTTCCTCATTAAGTACTGGAGTGTTGTACATGACCCTCCTCCTGCTATCTTCCAACCTGATCTCAGAAAATACCTCTGATTGAAGCCAGAGGTTTCTTCCCCAGTATTCTGCCTTTTACTTCATCTAGGTCTCTATTAATTCCTGCTAGGAACATATAGACCCTGTCATTTTCCTCTCTCTTCTTGTGTCTTGCCAGATCCTTGGCATTTTCTCAGTCTTCAGCATCATAGCATTGGTCCAACTCTTGCCATAGAGATACCATCTCATTATAGTATGAGATGACATCTCTACTTCCTTGTTTGGACTGCCACAACCTTGTTTTTAATTCATAGATCTGAGAAGAGTTCTCAAGATCTGAATAGGTTTCTTTAATTGAATCCCATACCTCTTTTGCAGTTTTCATGAACATGTGAGGTTTGGCAATTGATGCATCCATTGAACTGAGAAACCAGGCTGTTACCAAAGAGTTTTCTGACCTCCAGACATTGTAGCCATCTTCACCATTCTTCTTCTCCTCTACTTCACCCGTTATGTATCCCAACTTTCCTCTTCCATCTATTGCCAGTTTGACAGACTGTGACCACTCTAGGTAATTGGTTCCATTCAATGTCCAGTAATGAGCATAGATGAATTAACTGAGGCCTCGTAATTTGTCATTTGGCTAATTTGGGAGTTAGGGTGATGGGTTTGTGAGTGGGTGGAGGAATCAGAGTGTTCAGTGTCCACCATTGTGGTGTTTTAAACAACAAGGCTCTGATACCATGTAAGTTTGAAGAATTAATCTTCCTTGTATATTATTGAGCCATCCGGCAATGATATATATACAAGTTACAGATAAGGTTAAGTTGTTACAAATCCTAAAAAGTATGATCTATCTATTCTAGCTATTCTGCGGGCTAATCTAATAATTAGAGACCTCTATCTACTCTAATTCTTATCTATACAGTCCCGGATGTACAAATAATAAAATAACATGTAAATGCTACATTTTTCTACACTTTCCGTCTTCTGAGTTTCGATCCCTAAGTGTGTGTGTGTCTAGAATATCATAAGCATGAATAGAGGTAAGGGTATTTTAGGTATAGAAAATGTGTTGGTGTAACTTATGGCTATTTAAGATTGTACCATTCTCTTATTCGCTTTTACTCTTTCTCCATCAATCTAATTTATACCAGAAGGATCCCTACCAGTGCGTTTACTCACCTCAGCTACAAGTTCACACCATCTAACAATTTCTATCTGCCTCTTAACCTCCATCGCGTTTACTCACCCCAGCGATGATTTCAGAGTTCAGACCATCCAATGATTCTATCGGCCTCTTCCTTTATCTCGAAGATTCATCCACCCATACACCACATTACGATGGAGGCGTTCCTAACAAATGAGATCCGGCCAATAACACCAGAACTGTTTCGGTAACAGGTTAGGTTTTCTCCATCTTTTCTGCAGCGTCATTTTTTGAGGAGTACATCACTTCTTGCTCCGCTTTAATGTTTATTTTACTCTGATGCTTCTTTTTTTCTTCTTTTTTGCTTCATATGTAGAAAAGCATAACCAATTTCTGTAGAATAAATGATTGCACACTCGGTGTTATTCGGTCAGTTTTATCATTCTCTGTTTCAACTCATTAATAAATAATGAAGTATTAAAACTTTTAATCATCGAACAACAGAATGGTAAAACAGCATTCACATATATGTAGAAATCAATGATTGCACATTTGTACTCTTGTAGAAGTTTAATGTGTTTTTTTAATTAATACGGAGTACAAGTAATCAAGTCTTAAATATACAGGATCTCATACAAGTGTGTTGATCAAAACCGATGATAGCATCTATTTTAGTTTACAAAAGCATAACCAATTTCTTAGATTACTATGGTTTAATTTGATAGCACAAATTTGTGGTAATGTCTTGTGAGTTAAAGAATATTTTTGTTGTAGAAGAGTTTGCAAGTGTCATGCAATCGCATGTTCCAGTTTTCAATGTTATGTGCATCATTCCCTATTTCTGTTTAACACACCATTGTGGGTAAGTGTGTTTATCTATCAGCATCTGACCAGTTAAGTTGGAAAGATTTTAACCTTCTTTTTCTATTTTTGCGCCACGAAAGCATATATCTCCATTTTATTTGAATTATCATATGAAATGTACACCGGATTTTTTTAAGTAAACTTGACTCATATATGATAAATATGTAGTTGAGAGCAATGAGATGAACTTAAACTGAAACTAAATTGTCCGTGTTGTCTCGATTTCCATTTCTCTGGAGTCTAAAATCTTTACATTTGATTTTCAATTCACTTATAAAAACTGTCATATTAATTAGTATAACAAACCGTAAAAAAAAAATAACAAGTGATGTCCCAAGATGCAAAGTTAAAATCCCAACTCAGGGGGAGAGATGATTGACAAGCAGACAAGGGTGTCGATGACTTATTTAAAAATCCAGCTAACGTCTGGTTCTTTTCGGTGCCTGGTTGGTTTTAAGTTCAATACAGTTCGATCGATTTAAGCTAGCCTATATGTTTTCTTAGAGTGAAGTCTATTGATAAAACACATTATATCTCAATCAATAGCAATTTTTCTTCTTAAGTCATTTATGTTGTATTCCTTTACAATATCTTATTCTAAATTATAGATGTAATATTTGTGATTTTATGAAAGGTAAAAGATATTGTTATAATCATTCCCATATCTTTTTAAATCTTTTAATGATGCAGGACAGAAGTCAGCTTGAAATTAGGAGTCAGTTTTGATCTCTTGTAGTGAAAAGATTATTTACCAATCTTTGTGTACTCTTAAAGTGAAGTGTGTTTATGCACTTTTTAAATCTATTCGCCTCCCATTAGCGTCTAGCGTTCACCGGCCTTGAGGCATCCATTACAATGTTACACCGTACTTATTCTAGCACAATTTACTTGTAATGATTTTTTCATTTTTTATTATTTCTTCTTTTGGGTTCCCACTCTTAGTTTTATTATAAAGTTATAAATAGAAGGGATTATTGTGGCTTTAACTACTTGGTTTTTACACTACTTCCAATAAGAATTCCACAATTTTCACTTCTTATTAATGTTAACATGTGAAATACTAAAAGGTATCAGATATCAAATCAATGTATTATTACTTATTTTCTAACAAAAAACACATTGGGCATTTACCAAATCGCGCACCATTCGTGTTAACAACTAGTGTGTGTGTATACAACAACAACATCCAAGCCTTAATCCCAAAAGATTTGGGATCAGCTAACATGAATCGATCCATGACATCGATGCCAAAAGAGAAGACAAACAAGAAGAAGAAAAAGAAAAGGAAAAAAAGTAAGATAAAACGGATAAGATAAAAATAAATAAATACTACGTATAAAATAAAAATAACATAAGAATATAGGAAAGATAAAAGATAAAAAGATAAAAGAGCAAAAAAAGCGAGAAGATAAAAAAAAATATAAGAACATAAAAGGATAAACAAGATAAACGATAAAGGAAAATGAGAGAGGAAAAGACATAAAAGAGATCAATCGTTCACAACTTCACACGAATGTGCGCCCTCCATCTTGTTCTTTCCAAAGTCATACTCTTATCCAATCCAAGAAGACGCATATCAGTTCTAATTCCTCTAATCCAAGTCTGTTTGAGTCATCTAACAGGTGCATTACTCGATCTTCTACGCACATGGCCAAACCACCGCAAACGAGACTTTGTATCCTATCTTCTATAGGTGATACTCCCACCTTTTGTCTGATTATCACATTCCTCAAACGGTGTTTTCTGGTATGTCCACACATCAAACGCAACATACGCATCTCTGTCACACTCATCTTTTGAATGTGCCATTGTTTCACCGCCCAACACTCTACATCATACATTAATGCAGGCCTAATTGTTGTTTGATAAAATTTACCTTTCAGTCTAGTCGACATACCTCGATCACATAGAATTGTGTGTGTGTATTATGATAGTATAATATTATTGCATCGTAAAATAGAAGCAAATGGGGTTACGGGGGAAGAGGCCAAAAAGGTAAAGGAGGCAGGGCAGCAGTGGGTAGAGACGTAGAGTTTCGTCTCTTTCATTATTGATATTTGGATAATTTGGGGGTATTTTTGTATTTTAACAATATATTACATAAAAATCACTTTTTATCAAACACTTCAACTTTTACATTTTAATTAAAATCACTTCTATTTTCAAACACTATCAACTTTTGCTACAGAACACTTTTCCAATAATCTCTTAAAAAATCACTTCTGGAAAGCACAAGCCTTCTATTGTGTCGTAGAAATCACTTCTATTTTCAAACACTATCACTTCTATTTTCAAACACTCATTTAGTCCTCCACTTATTGTGTCAATATCATAGTGGAAGAACTAAAAATGTCAATTTGATAATACTCGAGGACTTAATGTGGGAAACTATGACGTCGAGGACTAAAAGTGTCTCTCACACAAGAGGATTAAAAATGGAAAAAATGAAAATCGAGTACCAAAAGTGTCACTAACACAACCGTCGAGGCTGAAAGTGGCAAAAACTTTTTCCCAATAATTGGTTACTAATTACTAATCCCATCAAAAACTTTAAAAATTGCCAAAATAGTCAATTATAGGGCTCTACTTATAAATTTCACATAACCTACAAAGCTACAACTACTCCACTCTTGCCGAATCTTGCAAAGGTACTGGGCTATCGCTATTCATGTCGTCTCTTATCAAGAATCTGGATGAGTATCCAGAACTTATGCATCAAAGTGGACAGAAAAAGGGGAAAGTAGCAGATACTTCGTATATCAATCAAAGTAGGAGATATTTTAATCCATGCCATGGGTACAACTACAACTAACAGGTGAAATTAATTCAAAGAAAAAAAGACCATTATGAATTAGGAATTCACAAAAACCATTAGAAATTATGAATGCACTTTGGGGGAAATATAGGGTTACTTGAGGAGAATGATCTGGTTTCAGTATGGCCAGAGCTCCAGAAACATCCGGGTCGACTCCAATTACCCAGTCAATAGAAGGCTTCCCGTGACGAAATGGGCAAGAGAGGGCGTCCAGCCAGTTCTCCCTCAGCTCAGCTCTCTGAATTTTCTTGCCACCCCTGGCCCTAGCACGTCCTCCACCTGTCCCAAAATCTTGAGGGTCAACAGTCACGGATGGCAGGTCAAGCGTAGGAGATGCAACAATAACTCCGCCAGCAGAGGCTGAGTAGACCCTGAATGCAAGAGCTGAGGAGGCAGCGTAGCGGAGTGGAGGCGGGATGAGGGTAAAGAAGCAAGTTGGTGGAATGAATGCGGGCTTTACTACGAGCTTCGTTAGATAGAAGGATTCCATCAAAAGAAAAATAGGCCAACAGAACTCCCAGCTTTTTACATGGCTTCTTCTCCGGGAGAGTATATGTATAAGCAGCTAGTTTATACTTCGTATACTGCACTTCTTTTACATCGTTACAAACTACGGAGTACTCTGTGACGAAATGGGATGCACCGACGGACGAAAATGTTAAATACTTCGTATAAAAACAATACTCCGTATAAAAACTATAAATAGAAAGAGGGAAAATCGCATTTTTAGACCTCAAATAGTCACCATATTGAAATATCATATACGTGTTTCTAAATTTATAAATGTCACCCTTCAATTGTTCAAATTGTTGTAAATATGATCCTTTGAGAGTGAAATGTACAATGTGGACGAGGAGTCCATTTCACCCCTCAATCGACCACATTTACAATAATTTGGACAATTGAGGGGTGACATTTACAATCTCCAAAATATAGGTCCGACATTTCAATATGGTCACTATTTCAAGGACTAAAAGTGCGATTTTCCCATAAAAATAATATACTCTCTCCGGTTTTAAATAATCTTCATAGTTTGACTTTACGGATTTTAAGAAAGTAGAACTTTTTGTTTTGACTTTCCCACCATACCCCTACAAAAAGTAGATAAAGTGTAGTGGGAGAGAGAAAGTAGGTGTAAAGTAGGTAATAAAGTAAGGATGTAAGGGTAACTATATATTAAAAACTTTCCAAAAATAGAAGTGTGAAGTTTATTTTGGACCTACCCAAAAAGGAAAGTGTGAAATTTATTTAGGACCGAAGGGAGTATATATTACCACAAAGTGTACGCCCATATTATCAAGGTCAGGTAAGGTAACAAATGCTCGAACCTGCCATCCTGCACAATCTTGATAGCCTTCCTCAGATCATCGGTGAAGCGCGATGCCCCTATCTTCGGAGGGTACCCATTCCATCGAACCGGCAACTGACCCTCAGGGAACCGAACAAACAAATATCGGTGTTTCCACTGCAAGGTTGTTAAAATCGTATTTTTTTATCGAATCGGGATAAAGGTTTAAAAATCGAATCGTAAAATCGAATCATAAATCGTAAGATTTTATAAAAGAATTAAATAAGTATTACTAAAAATAACATTTAAAAGGAAACATACAATTTAACTTTAATAAGTCAATTTGTTGCAAATTTAAGGCTATGAGTAAAACCATTATATGTTTAAGTCTTACAATGATCCCTTAATTAAAGTGCACAAAATAATTAATGTTATGTAACCGAAGAATAAAAGTCACTTGGCAAATAAATACAATGTTATAATCAATTTTTAGAATGGAAAAATTATACACCGTATATATTTTAGTTAAAATATGATAACTATGTGTTTACTAAATAGTGGTGCACCGTATGATTAAGGCAATCACGAATCGATAAGAGTTGGGCATGAACTAGGTGGGGACTACATGGTAACACTGGAATAACTCGATGAAGAAAGGGTGGATCGGGAAACTCAACCCGGGTATCACGGAGTCCAAATGAACCATGATCATCCTTGGTCACCTCGTTAAAGGGTGAGACGCGCAGCATAGACTGGAAACGACGGGCGACGACAGATACACCAGAAGCTGACCCAACGACGAGCATCTCATGACGTGGCACATCACGACGGTTGTCAGTCTAAAAAACATCCAAATCATCTCTGGAAAAGGCTTCCTTGCCAAAATCATAACCGTCTCGTGGAGCTTGATCGACATCATCTTGGGCAGCATCGCTTTGCACCGCCGCATCACCGGCGCTTTTCCCGGACCGTGGAGGTTGACCCAACGCTATCAGACGACCTGATTTCCCCCAAGCGAGAATCTGGCACGGATTCCAAAAAGAGACGGGGATCAATGAAGAGCTCCGGTGGATTGGACATCTACAAGAGAAAAGGAAGAAGCTGGTTTAAGGGGAAGAGTTACCTGAATCAGGGGACGAGCGAAGGACCGGTGACCGAAGATCTCTGTAGAGAGATGCTAGAGTGCCTAGAGAGAAGGAGATCACAATTTTGGAAACCCTAATTCAGCCCATTGAATGGGTATTTATAGGAAGCCCCACCATCCGGATGTCCAATGGTTGGGTGACATGTGGCGAGAAGCGTACCACGGGACACGGGTTGTGCGGAGGTCAATATGCGTGTAGTCATTACAATTATCTAGGAAGTTGAACCAACCACCGTAACTGTCACCTCGAATCTCGGGAACCGCCTTGATAGCTGGCACAATGAGCTCCGGAGCTGCTCGGGTCGGGATGAGCTCATCTATACTTCTTGTGTCCCGCACACGCTCGGAACATCAGAAGTGGGGGACTTGTGTTGGGGTAATTGGCCCAATGCATGATCAACCCAATACCTCATAAGGAAGATGGGATCAAGAGTGACAGCCCAACGGGGATCAAGGAGCACCTGACGCTCGTCAAGGCCTATGCGGCGCTCGTCGCCTATAAACGGGAACCCGTTTGAGCCAAGCAGTCAAACGGGGGCCTCATCCGAGACGTTCGGCAACCACCGAACAACATCTTGACCTTGCGCTTACCTGGGTCAGGGATCATGAGGGCCTCAGCTGGAACGTCCAACATAATTTGCGGGAAAGTTATGATATTGGCGGGAAATGCAATAAATGCACGAGATATGCAAGATTTGGTGGTTGGGAAGCTATCCACTCATGACCTTCCACATCACTACTACCACTTACCCCATGGTAGTATAAATAGTAGCATTTATCTCATAGTTAGGGGTTGACAACTTGTACTCACTAACATTAACTCTAATCTCTTGCACTCATAGCATAGACTAGACGCTCGGCCCGACATTCAATGGGGTGTGTTGTAGTGGTTTGTTATTGCTTAATGAGAAGTCGGCCCACTTATTGTCCTCGTCTTATTTGCTAAATACTTGTGTCCGCATATTCACTTAACTCACTAAAATATCCATCGAAGCCCGAGGGAACGTGTTAGGCCCTTGGAGTTGGATGAATTAACCTCAACATAGGGCAAATCTAGTCACTAGTAAACCATAAAAAATACACACCTAAATTGTCATCAACTTTAGGGGTGGGAAAAACTGAACTGAAATCCATAAACTGACCCTATCCTAAATTGAAAAATATGACCTATCTGTTTTTCCTTATTTTCGGAGGGCCTATATAAAAATAACCGGACCGGACCCGAAAATTCGGGTTTACCAGTGGTCGCTAAAATCTATAACGCGGCCCGAACCGGTCAAATCTCCCTCCGTTTAATACTACCTGTCTTACTTTCCTTTTTTGGTTGTTCCTAAATAAATGTCACATTTTCTTTTTTGAAAAAATGTGGTCTACATCATTTCACTTTATTATACTCAAATCTCAAACATAACTTTTACTTTTCAATCACTCTATTAATAATTATGTCAAACTAAAGTAAAACGCATAAAATGAGACAAAAGAAGTACTGGAATAGGCAAGTTGGACAAAAAAGAGACTCAATAAATTTGAGTGACTATAATCATGTTCAATTTGCACATTGCAGCGACCATAGAAATATATTCTTAATAGCTCTAGTCACATTTTAATGTATATTAAACGCAAACTAAAAAATTGATTTTGTTTGGATTTGAATTGTTGGTGATTATGGAGACTCATATTTGTTCATGTTATATTATGTGGATGTCCATTACTCTCCTGGCCCATATGTATTCTTAAGATCTGGCCCGATTATCCTGTAACCCTAATCTCATCCCCTGTATATATATGTGGCATGTGCTAATGAAGTTTATTGCCTTTGGGTTCATTCATAACACGTTATCAGCACCATGTTATTCTCCAGATGAATGGCTTTTGTGGCACCGTCCCCAAGCATGTTTACTTTTAGTAAATGATGTAGTAAACCTTGAAAGATAATTTATGAATTTACGTAATTGTTAAAATTTTATTATTTCTTTTACGTGAATAGTAAATTGCATGTGGGGCCCACAACGGGAACGGGGACCGCCCGATAATTCCCGAACCACATATTATATTCATCTTGGTCTAGATGACATCTATATGGTGGTGGATATCCTATTTGGGCCATAAGAAAGGCATGGAGTTGACCGATCGGTCAAACGGGGCCCAATTACCGGTATTGGTAATTTAGCGGATAACAGCCCGAAGTGAGTTTCGGAGACACCTAAATTAATGTTGGGGGAATGTATATCTATTCTAAAGGCCCATAATTATTGGGAAGGCGTGATATATTTTATTTGGTCCGATAAAATAAAATATGATTAAAACGGGCCGAGAAATACAACTTTCGGGGCCAATTGTACACACCGGGACATAATGGGATGACCTCCCACATAAGTGGGGGCCACCCCACGTTTTTGTGATCTGATTTCCAAGAGGAGAGCTGGGAGGAAGCTCCTAGGGACAAAACCCATACCCACCATGACCCTACCCTTCCTATTATTGTGAGCAAGTGGTTGTGAGGAGACTTTCTCTATCATTTTGCATCCTACGGATGATTTGAGAGGAGGGAGAGCTCTAAGACATAGCCTCACAAAGCTCTAGCTAGGAGAAAGCAGGAAGGGAGCAAATCCAAAGGAAATTAGCAAGAACACAAGGTAAGAATCCAACTAGTATTCTTTAACTAGTTTTTGTATATGATTTATTAAGAAATCATATGGTGGATTAAACCTCGGGTTCTACACGTTTAAAAAGTGTAGAATATTGATATAAAGTGGTGGTAATTAACTTAGAAGGGTTGGCAAATCGATAGGAGTCGAAATCGCCGGAAACCGCCACTCCAAAGGAGCTGTTCGTAGTTGCAGACTACGAAAGCCGCTCGGCTTTCGTGAAAGCCGCCCGGCTTTTGCCCAGCAGTCCAATTTTCCACTTTCAATCGGCCTAGAACGTGGATTGATCGAGGGGCTTAACAAAGGCAACTATTGTAGCACATCACAAGGTGAGGATGGCTGACTATGTTGCTTATAATTGTTGGGTTAATTTCGTAAGATTACCTAAGTTATTAAATGTGATTTTTCATGGATTATTAATGAATAATAATGCCTAAATGAACATACTATTGCATGTGAAAAGGTGAAGCATGATATACAAATTTAGAATAAATTGTGTATGATTGTGTGATATGAAAGTGATGGTATGATGATGAAATTAACTATGATAATATTGTGATAAAAATATACGTTTACT